AGTGTATACTAGTCTAACATACCCTGATTCCTTCTACTAACTAGCAATTTTTGACACCGAACTTTTCCATCATCATTAAAAATAAAATACTGTTCTGTATACATGTCATGTAGTTCATTTGCATGCCAAATGCAGATCGAAATTTACGGCAGACTTCAAAGGACAACATTCTTGTCACAAAATAATAAACAGATGAGAAAGAGTCATCAAACGTTGATTTTGAGGGGCGCAACAGGAAATAAGCTTTGTTTTCTATACTGCAAAAAATATGTTTAGAGAAGTATGGCATGTCCACTATGCCCCCCCCCCCCCCTTATTTTCTACGGTCCTCAACTAATATTCATTTTCTGACGCTTCAAATTTTAAAACATGTATACATGTATAAAGGTTTAACATCTTTCGTTGTGACATTATACATTAATCAGAATAATGAATAATTTAATGAAAAAGTAGTTGGGGGGGGGGGGGGTAACCGGACATTTTCTGTTTGGATGGGCACTACGTAGCAAGCCCCCCCCCCCCCCAAGTCAAATAATTTGAGTGGTCACACCAGAAACATAAAATGTCTCTGGTCACCCTCAGAAAACCTCTTTGTTTTCTATAGTATGTACTAATTATCAGCAAATTTATTGAGGAACACCCCCTTTCTATGATTAGTGAAGAACTTCACTAAGGATATGAACTCATAATCACCGTAATAGGGAAATTATATTATATATAAAAACTTTTATTACCCTCTAACATAATTAACGTAAACAGGTTCCGTTTCCCATAATGCATCGCTCTGCAGAGGATTTAATTTCATTGGTCAATTTTCACGAGGCGCCATTTTTGGAGTTGAGCAAGACGGACTCGGGTGTAAGGTGCAAATGTGAAAAGTTTTCGCCACCCAGTGTCTTTAAAACTATGAAAAATACAATGATCAACAACCAAGGATTAGTGTACGTATATTTTTATATACTTTTACGGTAAATAATACTAATATTGGGCAGAACAAATCTTTCCCATCGAAGACCACATTCGTTTTGACGCCATTTTGAAAAGTTTGATATCAAAGTTTTAAATATGTTAGTTTACACATTGAAAAAACGGAAAGAGAAACTTGAATTATTCAATATTTAGTGTTTTACGTTCAATCATAGATGTATAGATAGTAGACTTTGTATAGTTAGGCCCTATGGCACCACATTTGTCTTTTTCCATGCTGTATGTTGGGGTGCACGATGTTTCGGGACCACGACGTTTCGGGACCTGACTAATACGACGTTTCGGGACTAGCAACAAGACGGTTCGGAACTTCGGTAAAGACGATTCGGGACTTGAGTTAATTTTTTCTGGATCTAAACAAATTATTTTGTTATGGTGATATAGCATATTATTCTAATTACACATAGTACGTAATATTTCAAGCTAAATCCGAATTTTAATTTTTATGTATATATATAATAAAAATTGTCATAAAGATATACTTTGATGGGTTTTTTTTTCATAACAGACGAAGAAGAATAAATCTTTACAATGTTCATTTTTATTTTTTTAATTTTTTTTTATCATCTTTTTTATTAGTTATTTTTTCTTGTGTGTGTGGTGATGGGGGGGGGGGTCCAAAATTTAATCTTCTCCTGTTCTCAGGTTGATGATAGATATTTTAAAATACTCAAGTGATCTCCAGCTACCGTCGAATATTTCTTTAAAAAACATGTCAGTAAACTGTTAAAACAACAACTGGGATCAGGTACACATATCCCAACTGATACTCTGTACATAGGGAGGTGTTACGTACATGTATAAAGACGCCGCCGGTAATGGGAACTAAAAAGATTGTGTGGTTTCTTTTGAAATTATTTCAAGAAAATAAAAATCAAAAAATATGGAAAAAATATCGTTTGTTTATTGGTAAATGAAATAATTCAGAATCAAACAATAGTTCAACAAAATATAAAGGTTTTCAAAATGTTTTGATCTTGATTTTGTCTACCTTTTCCCAAACGGTTTCAATTTTTTTTTTTCCAAAAAGTTTTGGCATACTATCTGTAAGATTCTTCCCTGGAAATGTTACGAAAACATTTTTAAAGTTTCCAAAACATTGTAAATAAACATATTTTACAAATGTTGCGAGAACATTGGCCCTCAATTTAAAAAAAAATACCATACTTTAAAAAAAGCATTAAATGGTATAAACAACATGATTTCATTTGATATCGTTTCAAATAATGTCTTTAAAACATTTTAAATTTCATCATAGCTTTATCTATTTAATGTGGCAAGGTGGAAATTTGAAATTTAAGTTGACCTGCTGGTTAACGTAGTCAATGTGGAATGTCGATCTTTTAAACACTTTTACAACGTACATGTAGCATGAAAAATTTAATATTTACAAATTAAATAATATTTAGTATTTATTAACAGTATTATTTAAAGTTTGTCATGTACCTATAACTATGTAACACCACATATAATATTACGCACTGGTCGGGTATATAAGAAGATTGATAATTGAGTTTCATTGAGATTTGTAGTCTGTGTATACACAGTAAACATAAATTCAGACATCCATATCATTGTAGACAAATTAACAATTTTGATAGTACAATAATATATAGCGGGAATATTTGGGACTTTCGTGGGAATAATTTTTTTCTAATTAAAATAAATGAATAAAATCGATTACTTTCATCATTTTTCTTAAGCCATCGAGTACATGCATGTACTTTGCATAGACGAAGAAATTGTCTAACTTTGAAACGTTAAGATGAAAAATAAGTTAAACGTGTTTATATTTTGAAATTTAGTAAGTTTGGTTTATTTCCAAATGTTGCTTACATGGTATATATATACACATCATACTTTCAGTAAAATTTACTTTACAAGCTGTTCTTTGACGTATATGTATATTTGAAATGTCAAATACATGCTGATTTTCTTACCCATTTCGTTTTTTTTTCCTTCTCTACTTAACGTATACATGGATGTGTAGGAAGTTTATAGCTTAAGTTATAACATTTCTCTTACCCGTAACATTTTGTATAAATTTGCTTTTATGATTTTGTTGCATATATAACCTGAAATAATAATTATAAATTTTATACATTGATGTTTAAAAAGTTGAACATGGAATATTTAAGATTCTGATTCAAAACAACTACCCGTAAAACGTAAAGTTTTTACTGCACATGTGCTAGCTTGAGCCTTTGTAAATTTTGTAAACAAATATGAAATCAAATACCTAAAATTATTATTAAAAAGGAGAGAAAGAAAGTCTTAGAAAGAAAAACACGTCCGTGGTCTTCACACAGCAGTTCCCGGCTTTAATTCTACAAACTCTCGTATCAAACACTATAGGCCCTAAATAAGTCAAATACATACTTAAAAAAAAAATGAATTAAATTCTGGTCAAATGTTAACCAAATACTTTATAAAGGTAATATATCAAATACTGTAATAAGAAATTAAAGAGACAACACCGCGGGCGTTTGATTTTCTCGGCAGGCGTGCTCCATGCCGCAGGCAAACTTTAAAACTAATAAAAACTCCAATCAGTGCTTCTTAAATTATAAATTGTGTATCAAACTGAGAAATTATACATGTATATACATAAAAACACAAGTAAACAAGTTTTATTTCATTTCCTTTACAAAATATTTAGGAGTCCCGAAACGTGTTAGCCCAAGTCCCGAAACGTGTTAACCCAAGTCCCGAAACGTGTTGTCAGGTCCCGAAACGTCGGGGTCCCGAAACATCGCGGTCCCGAAACATCCATAATTCGTATGTTGTATGTTAACGTTTCGCCTTTGTAGATTTTTTTAATGAAAATGAATGCTTACTATAATAGTTCTCTCTCTCTGTAAATAAATGAAAAGTGTATGAAATTTTTTTTCGTTGTTAAATCGGATAATAATGTTTGTACCGAATATGGTTTCTCTGTTAATACAGACAAACATATATCCGGTTTGAATACATGTGTTCTCGGAATGCAACTTGTTGTACTTTTGGACTTTTTATGATGTAACGACAAGGTAAAAATGAATTATTTCTCCTACTAAATTACGATTAAGTCATCAATATTAAAACAAAAAGTGTCCGCAATCTCAACTTATCAGATTATTCACGAAGGACATCATCATCGATGGAAATTTAAACAGTTCAAATCATGACCCCCGGGGTAGGACGGGGCTACAATGAAGGATCAAAGTACATAAGAAAAATTTTAGAAATTTCTTCTATTCAAGAACAGCAAAGCCATGATTTGTCATATTTCTATGGAAGCATCTTCAGGCAGTGTAGATGCAAGTTTGTTCAAATCATGACCCCCATGGGTAGGATGGGGCCACAATCAGTGACCAACATTTTACTAACAATACTGATACATAGGAAAGATCTTTAAAATTCTTCTCAAGACCAATATAGTCAAAATTGGTCATAATAATATAAAAGCATCCTGAAGTAATGTAGATTCAATTTATTCAAATCATGACACTCCCCCCTCACTCCCCAGGAAAATAAAGGGGCCATAACAGGGGATTATAGTTACAGTAAAACTCATTTAGTACGAACACGGATATTGTGAATTCACAGATATAGCGAAGTTTTCTTGGATCCCCAGCTAAATAAATTTTACTAATTCTTATATGGATATAACAAATTAAGGATATAGCGAAGTAATTTCACAGGTCCCAGTGACTTCATTATAACCGAGTTTTACTGTAAAAAGGAAGAAAAGGAATATATCAATAATAATTTTCTTATTAAGAACAGCAATGCTAATATGTATCATATTAATTCAAAAGCATCCTTTGAAAGTATAGAATTCATAACCCCCTCCCCCCTCCTTCTGAACCACTTTTATATTTAAACTTTTAAATACAGAACTGATTTATGCTTTTTCCTACCCAAAGTGCTCAGGTGAGCAATGTGGCCCCTAGGACTCTTGTTTATTGTTAGTCTTATAAGTGAAATCAGAATGCAATACAGTGTAGTAACTGTACATAATATATTCTTTCAGAGAGAAGAAAATTGACATTAAAGGAGAACCAGTAACTAAAGATGTATGATGAATCAAGATGTGATCATGTGGTAAGTGGTAATTAATTCAATCATAAATAGGCATGTATGACAATTGCATTAAAAGAAAAGAACTTGATTCCAATTTTAATTGGAATGTTGAACTATCAGCTGCAAACTACAACAGGTTAGGCATAATAATAAAAAATGTTTGTTTACAGTTACTCCCCCCCCCCCCCCCCCCCCCCCGACCCAATATCTAATAGCCAACCCAAATTTTTTTTCGTTGTAAAAATCCATAAGTCACTCATTCGTCAGTTTAACTTTTACATGCATCTTAATCTACGTACAAACCCTATTTTATTTCAGCATGTAACAGTAAACAAACATATTTTTTTTGTTTGGCCTTATGAAATTGTATGGCTTGGAGTCTTTTTCACTTCTCTATAAAATTTTCTGTCTGGATGATGTCTAGCACAATATACACCATGCAGTGAGGATTTTAGTTCACCCGAGCTAAAAACTCGAGTGAACTTTTCTGATACCTTTTGTTTTGTCTTTTGTCCATCAAACTGTCAATCCATCAGTGAGCTTTTCACATTTTCAACTTCTTCTCAAGAACCACTAATTTTAACCAAGGTTGACACAAAGTAAGGATATTTTAAATTGTACAGAGGAAGCCCCCCCCCCTTCACCCCAAGGGGAAATGATCAACTCTTTCAGATATTATTGATATGATCATTGTTGAGCAACTTATAATTTTGTAACCTGTAGACTTTATTTTAAGAATAATGAATATTTGTTTAAGAGTCCTTTTCTCAAGGTTCAAAGTTCAATTAAAATTATTTTGTGATACATGTATTTGAGGATTCGAGATATCAGGAGTAAAATATTTAAAGAATACTTCCAAATTACTTCGACATATCTATGGTATTCAAGATGCCAAAGTTCAACTGTATGGCTATGCTAAAGTAGTAAATATTATAACTTACTAAAACTTTCTAACATTGAAATATGTTAAATGAAACAAGACAAAAATGAAAAATAAAAATTTACTGATTTTTGGCTGGTCAGTATTTTGATGACTGTAATTTCTAAAATATTCAATGAAACACTTTGAAGCTTTAACTGTAGGTATATGTTAACTAAATATACTATAAGATAATATTTATAAATGAGAAGTTTTGAACAAACATTACAGCATTCATGTATGTAAATTGGGGGTAAAAACTGGTTATCGGTAATGGCTATCGCCTTAATTTTCAATGACATAAAACAAGATTTAGAATGCAGGTAAATAATACTAGTATGTGTCTGTACATATGATATAGCATATAGAACTTGTACTGAAAGTTGATTAGCTAAATCTTGAATGGCTGATATGTTGGTCGTTTTTGATGAAATTTAGATTATTTGTATGTAAACTGAGTGTACATGCAATATGAAATTATTCATAAGGTATTAAACATGATTAAAACATGTGTATGCAATGCAACATATGATGAATTCATATTGACTTGCATGGATGTAGCTTAACATGTATGTGCATTGGTTTTTTTAGGGTCCTGTTCTGCAGATGCCATGAGATGATCTGTCTGTCCATCTGATATCACTTGTCCTGAGTATATTTTTTCTCCTCTTAGCCCAATCTCACTCAAATTTAACTCATAGAGTGCCTGTGGATGGAGGGTAAAAAGTGACCTTGGACCAATTATCAAGGTCAAAGGTCAGTATCAAAACACACTATATATCTTTATTTAAAGTCCTTGTCCAGAGCATAATTTTTCTCCCTTGGTATGATCTTGCTTGTGTGCCATGGGATGAAGGGTTTTTAGTGATCTTTAACAAAATTTCTAGGTCAAATGTCAATAAGAAAAAAAAAAGATTCATAATATCCTTGTCCAGAGCACATTTCTCTCCAATTCACTCAACTAAAAGCAGTGTTCTACATGTACGAGATGGTCATATTCTCAATCTTACCCACTTTAATATTAATCTGGCTTAAAATCTTACTATGTAATGTTCATTATTCGGATTTCATGTCATTAAATTTAAAGACTGAAACTAATTATAATCACTGATATTGGTACATTAAAGGACATTGAGTGATCTTGTAAGATTTCTAAATAATATTCAAGCATACAATTCTTACATCAAATAATAATTTTATATGAAAATATATTGCAGATCGCAGATTGCAGATGATGTGAAGAAAATACAAAGGAAGCTGATGTTGAAAGAAGTATAGAGTATTTAAAGAAGTTTTTATGAATGGACTTAGATGTGAAAGACTACTTCATTGTGTACCAAGATATATGCTTTTATTTATTTTGATATCATTTTCAAATAATGTTTTTGCACATCAAATGAATTATTAAACATATGATTTGATAATGCTTTTTCCTTTTTATACATTTTCTTGATAGATTTTGAAAAGAAAACACAGTTTACCAAGGAAATTAATAATATAAATTTTGATTTAAACCTGCTGTTCTGTTTTCACATTCTAGACAAGAAAAATTAACCATGGAAAATACAGGGATCCTTGAGGTTCCAGTTGCTTGTCAATCATTTTTCGAAATTGAAATGCTCAACCTACCCTGTAGTTTCCATGGTATGGAAACTATTACACCACAATTACACATTGCTTCCTGTCTCAGAAAAATAAGGGAATCTTGAAGTTTCCCCGTAATTTCCTTTTTATGAGACACAAGATAATTCCACCAAGTTTCCATGACACGGAAATTGCTACGCTCCAATTCCATATAGTTTCCTGAGTCATGGAAACTTGGGAAATCACGAGGTTTCCTCTAGTTTCCGTTCATGGGAAATCTGAGGATTCCATTGAGTTTCCATTCCATGGAAACCACTACGCTCCGATTCCACATAGTTTCCTAATTATGGAAACCAGTGGAATCTTCAGGTTTCCCATTACGGGAAACTACATGGAGGCTCAGGAAACTTCAGGTTTCCTGAGGTTTCCGTGGTTCGGGATACCTTATGGAATCGGAGCGTAGTAGTTTCCGTGGTACGGAAACTTGACGGAATAACCTGGCATCCGCTGTGGAAACCACTAGGAAACATGATGTAAACATGAGGTTTCCATGTGGTTTCCATATAGTTTCCCATGACGGGAAACTGCTTATTTCACCCAGTGAACAGTATTGAGCAAAGGACGTTCAAAATAATATTCTGAACAATATGTACTCTTTAAATTTTTGCTAGACGTCCCCATTTAGGACTTGAAGGGCCGGTCCTTAATATTCCTTTTGCATATATCCCGAAAACAAAAAAAGAATTTATGAATAGTTGTTGAACAAAAAGTGTTCAAAATCATGAGAGCTTTAAGATGATATCAAGAAAAAGGGGCTTTCCTCTCACATTAGGGGCCGAGAAGGGCCAAAATTGTCTTTAATCTATAACCCTTTAATAATCAATATTTTGTTAAACATTACTAAAGCAAAATTGTTCGTCTTAACAATTTATTTATATTATTATATTTGAACGAAAATCTCAGTCAAATTCTTATCTCATCCTATCAAAAATCGGATGGAAGACCACTCGTTGCTCGCAACGAGATCGCATCTAGTTATTATTATTATTCTTTTTTTTCTTTACAAAATTTGTGCAGAAGATTTCTCGGAGATGGCTCGTTCGATTTTATTCAAATTTTCATGGTAGATGAGTTGACATCTGAAGTTAATTCCGGCAATATCGTTTTTTGAAAATCACTTCCGGTCGGAAGTTATCGCCTTTTTATAAAAATTCAAAGGACCTCCTTGTCTGCGATGGAACTCAAAAACGGCTTAAGCTAGAGCGCTGAAATTTTCAGTGATGATAGAGGACATGTTGCCATTAGGCACCTGGGTTTAGATATTTTCCGGAAGTGCCTAGTATGGAGGCTCGGTAGGGGTCGAAATTTAGGACACGAATCATGAGTGAATTTTTGAGACATTTTGTGTCATATCTTTTAAAGTATAATTATTTTGTTAAAACATATTGAACAAAATTTGTGCAGACTGGCAAGATCTGTAAGATGATATCAAGAAAAAAGCGCTGACTCATCACATTAGGGGCCGAGAGGGGCCAAAATTCTAAAATCGATAACTCTTAAAGAATCAATATTTTGGTATACATTACTGAAGCAAAAATATTTATCTTAACAATTTACAACTATATATTATGATTTTTACGTCGTATGGCACATAATTAGGGGCCACAAGGGGCCAGAATGCTTAATCTTTGACGCTTTATATCTCGAAAAGGGGAAACATTTTGAAAAGCAATATTGAACAAAAGTTGTTTAGAATGATGATCTCAACAATGTGCATCCTTTGAATTTTTCTTAAACAGTCCCTATAAGGACTTAAAGGGACGGCCCCTAAATATTTGAAGTCCACATATCTCGAAAACGAAACGAAACTTCTGAATACTTGTTGAGCAAAAAGTCTTCAGAATTACAAGACCTTTCATGTGATATCAAGAAAAAGGGGCTGACCCCTCAAATTAGGGGCTCAGAGGGGCCAAAAGTCTTTCACCTATATCTCCTTAACGTTAAATATTTTGATATTAATTATAGAAGCAAAAATGTTCATCTTCACAATTTGCAACTATATATCTTAAAATTTTCATCAAATATTACGTAATTAGGGGCCATAAGGGGCCAGAATGCTTAATCTTTGAGGCTTTATATCTCGAAAAGGAGAAACATTTTGAAAAGCAATAATGAACAAAAGTTGTTTAGAATGATGTTCTCAACAATGTGGGTCCTTTTAATTTTTCCTAAACAGTCCCTATAAGGACTTAAAGGGACGGCCCCTAAATATTTCAAGTCTTCATATCTCGAAAACTAAATGAAACTTCTGAATAGTTGTTGAACAAAAAGTCTTCAGAATTACAAGAACTTTCATGTGATATCAAGAAAAAGGGGCTGACCCCTCAAATTAGGGTCTCAGAGGGGCCAAAATTCTTTCATTTTTAATACCTTAACGTTAAATATTTTGATATAAATAATTGAAGCAAAAATGTTCATCTTCACAATCTGCAACTATATATCTTAAAGTATTCTTCAAATATTACGTAATTAGGGGCCATAAGGGGCCAGAATGCTTAATCTTTGGCGATTTATATCTCGAAAAGGGGAAACATTTTGAAAAGCAATATTGAACAAAAGTTGTTTAGAATGATGTTCTCAACAATGTGCATCCTTTTAATTTTTCCTAAACAGCCCCTATAAGGACTTAAAGGGACGGCCCCTAAATATTTCAAGTCTACATATCTCGAAAACGAAACGAAACTTCTGAATAGTAGTTGAACAAAAAGTCTTCAGAATGACAAGGCCTTTCATGTGATATCAAGAAAAAGGGGCTGACCCCTCGAATTAGGGGCTCAGAGGGGCCAAAAGTCTTCTATCTATAACCCTTTTACAGTAATGTTCCTCTTCACGATCTGCTACTATAAATATTTTAAAATCTTCATCAAACATTGTGTTTTTAGGTTTTTAGATCAAAATTTTGTTAAACATAACTGAAGCAAATTGTACGTTTTCACTATTTATATATTTATGAACGAAAATCTCAGTCAAATTCGTATCTCATCTTATCAAAAATCGGACGGAAGACCCACTCGTTGCTCGCAACGAGATCGCATCTAGTTATTCTTCTTTTTTTTCTCCTTACCGATTTTGTGCAGAAGATTTCTCAGAGATGAATTGATCGATTTACTTCAAATTTTCAGAGTTTATGTCTTGTCATCTGAAGTTTGTACCGGCATTTCAAAATTTGCAAAATCACTTCCGGTTGGAAGTTATCGCCCTTTTATTAAAATTCAGAGGACCTCCTTGTCTGTGATGGAACTTAAAATCGGTTTAAGCTAGAGCGCTGAAATTTTCAGTGATGATAGTGGACATGTTGCCATTATGCACCTGGGTTTAGATATCTTCCGGAAGTGCCTAGTATGGAAGCTCGGTAGAGGTCGAAATTTAGGACACGAATCATGAATGAACTTTTGGGACATTTTGTATCATATCTTTTAAAGTATAATTATTTTGTTAAAACATACTGAACAATATTTGTGCAGAATGACAAGATCTTTATCGTGATATCAAGAAAAAAGGGCTGACTTGTCATGTTAGGGGCCGAGAGGGGCCAAAAGTATTAAATCAATAACTCTTTAACGATCAATATTTTGTAATGCATTACTGAAGCAAAAATGTTTATCTCAACAATTTACAACTATATATTACAATATTCACATCATATGTTTCATAATAAGGGGCCATAAGGGGCCAGAATGCTAAATCTTTGACGCTTTATATCTCAAAAGTGGGAAATATTTTGATAAGCAATATTGAACAAAAGATGTTCAAAATAATGTTCTAAACAATATGCAACCTTTCATTTTTTGCTATACATCCCCATTAAGGAGTTGAAGGGCCGGCCCCTAAATATTTCTTTTGCAAATATCTCAGAAACGAAAAAGAATTTCTGACTAGTTGTTGAACAAGAAGTGTTTAAAATCATGAGAGCTTTAAAGTCATATGAAGAAAAAGGGGCTGGCCCCTCATAGTAGGGGCTGAAAGGGGCCGAAAGTTTTTGAACAATAACTCTTTAACGATCAATATTTTGAAATGCATTACTGAAGAAAAAATGTTTATCTCAACAATTTACAACTATATATTATGATATTCACATCATATGTTACATAATTAGGGGCCATAAGGGCCCAGAATGCTAATTCTTTGACGCTTTATATCTCAAAAGTGGGAAATATTTTGATAAGCAATATTTAACAAAAGATGTTCAAAATAATGTTCTAAACAATATGCAACCTATCATGTTTTGCTAAACGTCCCCATTAAGGAGTTGAAGGGCCGGCCCTTAAATACTTCTTTTGCAAATATCTCAGAAACGAAAAAGAATTTCTGACTAGTTGTTGAACAAAAAGTGTTCAAAATCATGAGCGCTTAAAGGTGATATCAAGGAAAAGGGTCTGACCCCTTAAATTAGGGGCCGAGAGGGGCCGAAAGTATACAATCAATAACTCTTTAATGATCAATATTTTGTAATACATTACTGAAGCGAAATAGTTCATCTTCACACTTTTTGCCTAAGTAACATGATGTTGATATCATATGCTACGCAATAAGGGGTCTTCAGGGGCCAGATTGCATAATCTTAGGCGCAATATATCTCGAAAAGGAAGAATATTTTGATAAACAGTATTGAGCAAAGGACGTTCAAAATAATATTCTGAACAATATGTACTCTTTAAATTTTTGCTAGACGTCCCCATTTAGGACTTGAAG